AAGATCCTGCAGGCTCTGTTGAGCTGCACTGGCCTCCGGGTGCCCGGGTGCAGCTGGGCAGTGAAAAGGGGGTCGGGTCGCAGCGTGCCACCGCCCCAGATGCCGCTGACCCTAGTCACGCCACTGTCTCCAACCCCGTGCACTTACCCTTCCCCGTACTGTTTGCACGAACTTTCGGAAATGTCTGGGGGATCACCCCCTCTGCCACCCCTGTTCCGACGCCACTGCCAGTAGGATTGGAACGACCAAAGCTGTTTTATAATGTTGTAGAAGCGAAGCGACAGCAAGTAACTCTTGATTTATAGAACACATTACACGCAATAAATAGGAGGTACTTAGCCAGGACAACTTATGTTCTCGGACGGAAAAATAATCCCACAGAGGTGTATGCAAAACGCAGTTCACTGTGAATCAGGCACCTTTATTTCAGTTCAAAGTACAGAAACGGTGAAAAGGGTCGAAACTGCAGATTAAACGCAACAAGAAAAAAAAAAGTATACTCCATTGATCTACGTCGCGAGCAAATTAGAAAACAAAAACAAAAAAAAAAAAAAAAACAAATGCGAGGTTTCCCAAGAGACGCCCTTCACATCGGCGGTGGCGGCGCCGAGGCACCCATTTTCATCGCCATCTTGGTCATGATGTTCTTGATCTTGGGGTTGGACTGGTACTTTGAGATGTTAGCCGGGTTTCGGGTGATGTCTTGGAACGCCGCAGCCACCTCGGGGTCCTGAAAAGAAGGCACGCATAATTTATTTTCACCCAATTTTATCACCATAAACTACGGGCGTCTGACGAGTCATCTCACCTGGAGGGCTGCTAAGATCTCCGGGTCCTGAAAGCAGTCTCCGAGGCCACCCGGAAAGAAGCTTCCAGGGAAACCACCGGGCATCCCGCCGAGGTCGTCATCGTCCTGCGACTGTCGTTAATCCAAGACGCGCATTTTAAAACTGCACGCATTCGTAAACCCAGACAACCTAGTGTCTGGAGCAACAAATGCTGGGTAGGCCAGGAAGCCACGGCCCCTGCGGGCCAATCGGAACAACGGAGTAAGGCACGGACCACGCATCGCCGGAGTGGCTTTTACTGCGAAGTGGGAGGCCTTTCGCTGCGTCATACTCCAATATGTGTGCGTTGCACTCACTGATCTTTATGACAATTTGCTGGATCGCGCATCCCCGCTTGGTCGCTGCAGCGGGAGTGCGGCCGCCGGAAGTTCCGCATCGGCCATCTTTGAGGCACCGGAAGTCGACCCTTTGCAGCGTTGCAGAGTCCGCGCGGCAGCGTGCTGGAAGCAGCTGGAAGACGTTTTCTGTTCGTTCGCCGTCATTCGCCGAAGAAGCTTTTAGAACCCTGTATGAACGGTCGTAGCTACCTTTGAGGACACGAGGAAACTTTCACGAAAGTGCAGCATCGCAGGTAAAAGGCACCACTCGTCGAATGCAAGTCTCGCGGCGTCATCCAAGGTCAAATGGCACGCCGAAGTGCTGCGTCTCTGCCTTCGCACGTTTGGATACCGATCAAGGGTCGACGCCGCGTGGATATGTTAACCCTTCGGAAAAGTTTTGAAAGTGTGTCTCGCGTAGACGACTTTGCCGCACACATATCGGTCGCGGAGTTCTGGACCATCCAGCTGTTCCGGTAAGCTGCACTGATCAGTGGTTGCTATTATGCACTATTAAACAACAACGTCCAAGAATCTGATCAAATGGATCCGAATTACTCACGTATATAAAAGCACAGATAGTGTGGGTTACAAACCACATCGCCACTTTTGAACAATATATATAGAAACAGGGGCGTCGGAAGTGCTCGGGAGATGGGGGAATCGAAAGGTAGATTTTCGTTCCCTTCTACTGAATTGATTGCTAGAAAAGTCTCGAAGGCAAAGACCGATCGCCGCTGCGCTGTCCCCCCTCTGTTCCGTCGGCACGGAATCAAAATCGTTTCTGACCCGCGAGTACCGCAAGTTACAACAAATACAGTCGGCAGAGTAAAGTAAAACGCTGCTCCAGAGGCACATACACCTTGACGCGCGACACACCTTCAAAACCATCCACACGCGGCGTCGATTCTTGGTTGGTATCCAAGCGTGCAAAGGCAGAGACGCAGCACTTCGGCATGCAAAGGGCATGCTCTTTGATCACGTCGCGAGACTTGCGTTCGACTAGTTGTGCTTTTTCCCTGAGGTCTTCGTAAAATTTTAAACGTGTTTTTAATGGTAGCTACGACCGTTTACACGAGGTCTAAAAACACTTCTTCGGCGAATGGCGGCGAACGAGCAAGAAACGTGCCTTTGAGCACGCAGCCGCCCAGCCAGCCTCTGCAACGCTCCAGATCACTCCAAATGGTCGACTTCCGGTACCCCAAAGATGACCGTCCGGCGGCCGCATTCGCGCAGCGGGGAAGCGCGATCCAGCAATTGTCAGAGATCAGTGGTTGCGCTCGTGTACGTAGCGCACATCGAAGCCGTCCGAACGCAGTGTAGGGCGTAGCGTTCACCCTTTGCCAAGTTACAACGAGAAAGTGGGCTCTCATTCTGCCGGCGCCGCCTGGCCGTTGCACTGACAAACGGGGCTATGGGCATCCACCACGATTGCCTCTATTTCCTTTTCCAACTACATCACTAAAAACAAACAACAATCTCTCTCTACGCGTTCTATCTAAAGCAAACAAGAACAGTAAGTGCTAGGCAACTTGCAGTTTTAGTATGTATGTGTTCGAGCCTTCAACTGCGCTACGCTACGCCCAACACCTTTAGAGTTTGGATTCCCCATTTTCCAGCACTGTCAAGTACCGACATCCACATACATATTTTTTAGCTTCCCTGTATTCCACAGCCCATGGAGTCTTGAAAAGTTTTCCTTGCATACTGTCATACTTTCTCACCGTCAGTGAGTGTATCATAAGTTCCAATTCGTTGAAACTCATCGTGCAAGGATATATGTATACGCAAGCGAGCACGTGCGCTGCATCCCACAGGTCTACGGTTCAAACACGCACCTTAAGCCCTCGAATGTCCCAGGACCTAAGTGATTTCTGCACCTCGTTAGACCGCCCATCTGACACAAAAGCACCTTTGTATATAACTTAAGCCTCGATATAACGAACTCGTATTGATGGGCGGGCAACAGGCTCGTTACATCGCGAAAGTCGTTATACGAGTTCCATCATCTCCCAGGTTTATAATTGTCATTGCCTCATATCTTGTAAGGAGTCCCTAAACAAACGGCCCGACGGCCCGATGTCTTTGAGACCCGAGAAAGAAAACAGAAACGCAGAAGACGGACGACCTTGACGCGTGTGTCCAGCCGCGACCGAAACTGCATGCAGCCGCGCCGTTGACGCGTGCTGACCGAGACCAAGGGTTCCGCAACACCTTGTTAGTATTTTCCCCGTTCTACCTGTTGTATTGAGAACACCGTCATTATCTTCATACAGCTAGTGAAGTGATATCCGGGTCGCCTCGTCCTTAACTTCCGGCGCCGAATATGGAATTTCTCATATGCCCCCCCCCCCCCCCCCCCCCCCCCCCCCAAAAGCTAAAAAGTACAGTGCGTCATTATTCTCCCGGGAGCCAGCCAGCCAGCCAGCCAGCCAGCCAGCCAGCCAGCCAGCCAGCCAGCCAGCCAGCCAGCCAGCCAGCCAGCCACCAGCCAGCCAGCCACCAGCCAGCCAGTCAGCCACCAGCCAGCCACCAGTCAGTCACCAGCCAGCCACCAGCCAGCCACCAGCCAGCCAGCCCCCCCCCCCCCCCTCCCTCCCCCCTCCCCCCCCAACAAACTATTTTGAGATCTCAGACTCTACCGTTAAGGAATTATATACGCGAATAAGTATTGAAACAAACATTTGAGCAGTTTGTATTCTCACAAATGCTACCGATATGTGCGTACTCGACGAGGGCTTCGTTAACTGCGGCCCAAAACAACCTCGCAAAAAAAAAAAAAAAAAAGGAAGCAATAGCGGCTGGATTTTGATTTATCCATCGAATCGACAAGTGCGAAATTTCATTTTATGAGAAACGCAGCCGACGCACGAGTTTAGTATTTGTCTTCCTGGCACGGGTCTTTTCGAAACGTCACCCATAGTCGTTCTTTGTTCTATTCTTTCTTGCGACGACACCGAGAACGCACACATACTGAGGCGAGGAAGCATCTTTTGGAGGATGGACTGGTAAAGTAGGAACAGGGAGTTTTAGTAGCGAGTTTTAGTAGATTGTGTTTCCCCCTCCGCTACCCGGAACTCTACAGCCAAGGCCATCGGCATGCAGGCGCAGTGGCGGTTTCTTCGTAGCGGAGGGGGAAACACGGTCTACTAAAACTCCCTAGTAGATCGTTCTGATACGTCGGACAACAATCCACGATACTCCGCCGGCACCCTTTGCGTATGTATCGTATCGTTATCGGGAATCTTTAGGGAGTTTTCGTAGACCGCGTTTCCCGCTGCGCTAAGCTCTCCGCAACGATGAAGCCGCTACTGCGCCTGCGCGCCGATGGCCTTGGCTGTAGAGTTCCGGGTATCTACGTACCTCCTGCGGAGAGCGTTGCGGGACGGTGAAAACGATCTACTAAAACTCCCTTTTACCAGAGGTATCGGAAGGAACCGTCTACTAAAACTCCCCATTATGGAACCTGGGAACACGAGTATAGTTGGTTCGCGGCGCAGGAGTTGGGCAGTTGGCCGGCTCTCCTGGCTTACACTGTGCTACGCCGCGGTGCGCAAGGGACGCTCGCGAGATCCGAGTTAGCTTCGGTAAAAATACAAATCTGTATTGATAATAATAATAAATATACAGGGTGTTTCACCTAAAAGTGACAAAACTTCCTACAATTAGTGTGTTCATGGTAGAAGGATAATTTTATTGAGACCGAATTACTCGTGGTGGCGGACTCCAGAAAATGCGGGATTCTTACGAATTAGTTCGCTATTTAACTAAAATGACTATCTTTTTAATGCGTGAAAAATAGACATATGGTTCCAATTAGAAACTTGCTGAGCCAAGTTGACAACCACTAATCAGTAACTTTCATAAAGGCTGAGCGTGCGAGAAGCGCAGTAGTGCGCTAAAGTTACCGCTTGTAGAGCAGGTACAAGGCTGGAGCTCCCGTAAGAGACGGAAAAATCGCGCGGGAGCCCGCAACGTCTAGCTTTGTACACCCGCCCGCCGGCAATATGAAGGTGAACACTTTACCTAGTTTCTTGCCTGTTTTACGGCTCCCTAAAGCTACATTAACTCTCAACGTCTCAAATGGTACGTGGCCAAGGGTCTAAACTTTGCGTTCTAGCCCTCTTCTGGAACAGAGCTTGTTCCAAAACTTGCAGGAGCGTCAAAAACAAGAAGAGGGCTGTTCACCTTCACATATTGTTCACGGGGTGTACCTGCATGCTCTACGAGTGGTACCTATAGTGCACCGTTACGCTTCTCACGCGCTCCAAGTATTTGTGAAAATGGCTGGTTTAGGGGCTTTCGATGACGCTCAGGAAGTTTCTACGTCAATTTTCACAAATTAAAATGTTCATTAGTCATTTTCAATTAATTAGCGAACTAATTAGTATCGGGCAATTTCTGGCCTCCGCCACCGAGAAATGCGCTCCCGAAAAAAGTATTCTTACCTGGAATACACTAATTGTACGAATTTTTGTCACTCTTACGTGAAGCCCCGTATGTATATATATATACACCGTCACACGCCCCTTTTTATTTTAGATATTAGGGTGCGCAGGTTGAGTTCGCGCCATAAAAAGATGATCTCAAAATCCACCTTAGTGCCCCTTTAAAAGTAGCAAAAAAATGAAAAAAAAAAAAACATTATATCGCGATTTTTGTCAACTGGAGGTCTAGCTGCCATACCAGCAGAATCCTCACCTGTTGAGCAGCGTTCTGGTGTGCCTCCCTGGCCTTGCGGATTCTCTCGGCGCGCTCCCTGAGCTCGCGTTCCTCCAGCTTGCGCTCCCACTTGCGCTTGTGCTCCTGCAGTTTCTTCGCCTAAACGCGACGAAAACAAAACAAAAAAAAAGAACCCCGATATAAATGAAGTTTCAAGGGACTCGTTATGACAAGAAGACACCACTTGTTCGAAACAACGCAAACTAAATGAACTTGACCATCTCCCCTTCCCGACACCAATCGTAGTTCGAGATTTCGCCGCTAATAGCCGATTCACATGACGGACTGATCTGCGGACGGATTGATCACGTGATGACATGTCCGTGGCTCGTCCGTCTCTCAAGCGCACCCACACGAGGGAGATGACGAGCAGACGCCAGCGACGACGAACCGAACCTGTTTGCTACCCCACGGTGCCGCGAAACTCATGCATCGCACCGTGGCACCGTTGTCCAAGAGAGAAATCGACGTTTTCTACCGCGATAAAGAATCGTACGCCGCTGTTACGTACAGATCGAGACAAGACACCGTTATTGGCGACGTAAGCGATCGAAAGCGTCGCTGTGGTCGGCTCGCCACAATTGGTCGAATACTGACTATGACGTCAGCAAAGGATGTCTCATCAACGGAAATAAGAGGAATGCAAGAACTTCAATTTTTACGGTGTTGGCCGTGTTGCTTTGAGAGCGCTATGATTTCAGGCTTCCACCATGCCCATTACAAACACCATCGAACTTGTTGTTCACAAGGTAATGACGTCACGAAAGGTAACCAAACGAGGGCGCCACCGAAACATTTCGCAGCGCCACTAGCTTTACTTAGGGTGCCTTCATGTGCGCTTTGCTTAGGGTGGAGACATCTGACCATTTTGTTCCCACTTTTACACTTATTTTTTGTTCAGAAGCGCGTGAAAGAGCGTGTCCCTGCATGCGTCTGTGGCGCTGACTGCTATGGCGACATTTTGTTTTCGTCGATTTCTTTGTATTTTCCCCGTGAGCGCGTGCTGTCGGCATCGGGAACTACAAAGGGTGGCATCACTCTAAACAGAAGGTCATTGAGGCACCCTAGCTTTACTAACCCAAGGCATGACAGTGACACAGGCATGGTCCTGCTCAAGAAGGGTTCGGCGTAGAAGCGACGAAGTTCTGGGCTCGCGGAGGAGCGTTTGGAAATGCCTTCACGCACTCCGCGCTCGTGCGCAACACTCAAGCACACCACAGCCACAAGACCGGCCTTGCTCGGTGAAAGTCCGATTGGCGTGCAAGAATTATCACGACATGCTCGTCGTGCTTTCACGGGAGCTTCTTGACAGGGACCCGGAGGACAACCGGAACATGCGTCGCGACAGCCGGACAAAGTTTCTGCAGTTTCTTTCACGCGTGCCACCAACAATCGCGCGACAGAATGAACCAGCGAACGCACAAAACGCAACGTTGCGACATTTTTTACTTTTTTAATCACAAAAAAAAAGTGTACTGTTGCCAGGTTAAACGCTTTTCAAATCAATCTCCCGGCAAAAATCCGCGAGTGAAAAGGCGACTTTATCAGTCCGCGTGTCCGCGGACGAGGCGCGGATCCCATGAATCAGTGACGTGCCAGTCACGTGGTACACGGTCCGCGGACGAAAAGCGCGACTCGGTCCGTCTAAAGCCCCTTTATACGGAAAAGTAGCGACATCCTTTGAGGAATGCTGCCTGCTATCTTTTTTTGCCTGCTATTTTTTTTTTTTTTTTTGCATTGTGCACCGTTTGTGATTTCGGAACCGCATGCTCGAAAAACGACTCGCTAAAACTCCCTAATGTCTCTTTCACCGACTTTGGCTCATCTCTCGTGGGGACCATCTGCAAGTGTCGGGGGTCGTGCGATGTCTCCGAGTGTTCCGTCTGGGCTGTGTCTGGGATATGTTCGTGCTTCCGTTTTTACACCCAGCCGTTCGCCGTTTCCTCGTCCCTATTAGTTTTCCAGGAAGCCGCCCCCATATTGTGCAGAAAGCCGCCTCTTTAACTTATTCATTCTCTTCGGAGACACTCGAGTGAACGCGACTTTCACAGTTGGCGTTTCGCACATGTTTCGCACATAGACGCCGCGGTGGTCGTCGTAAACTGGTAAAGCAGAAGGAGCTAATTGTCTCCTTTCCCCCTTTATTCCGAAGCTGTTTGACCTGCTATGTTTAGGCCTGCTTCCGAGTACATCCCATAAGGTAATTATGTGACCATCTCTCTCCTTATTCGTTTCGGAGTGAAAAATAAACCAAAACGTTCACTGACGCGGGCCGATGACAATTTTGAAAAACGGTTTTGCAAATAAATTATGCACCTCAAAATGCTGAAACGGCGAATGACACAAAAAAGGAAACACCCTTCGGGTTTCAATTTTTCTAATTTCTCAGTTTATCTTTGTTCTCACTATAGTGTAACAAATAAAATAATACTGTTTTGGTTTGTGATTCCTTGAGTCCAATTTTTCTACTGTAACGAGAAAGTAACGGCTTTACTGTTTTTTTTAGTAACTGTAACTGTAACTTCTTGAAACCGGTAACTGTAACAAAGTTACTTTTCCCCCTAGGTAACTGTAGCTGTAACAGTGTTACTTTTTACTGGTAACGTGTCCATGACTGGTGTGTGGGCACCCTGGCGGCTCCCCAGCCCAGTTATCCCGAATACGAGGCACAGGTGGCGAACTTTCCCGCGTGGCGGCGGAGTCAAACCCGCGGCCACTCGCACACCGCGTGCGCCGCCTTGATAAAGGCGGATCAGAGGCGGCGCACGGGCAGTCGCGGCCTGGACTCAAGCGCCGCCGGTAACGATGTTAAATGCATTGATCGTCTCGTCCATGTCCAATTAAACGTAGTTTCTTGTTCACGAAACCGCTGGCTCCGTGTTATTCTTCCGGGTCGGGTATGCACCAAGGCAAACCGACCACACGTTGAAAGAGGTGCGAGGATCGCTTCCACATTACCTTTAACCTGTCACAGTCTATACACTAATTATCACCGAGGCGAGAAACGCCGAGTTCCTGGGCTGTAGACACGTGCGCCGCGTCTGCTAGTCCGAAGAGAGAGCTACTGCGCATGCTCAGAACGCGTTGCCCAGTCGACAAAGATGGCAGCACGCAGACGGCAGTTAGGGTGCTAGGTGGCGCAAGCTACCGCCCGTTACAAAGGGTATAGCCATTAACATCCATCCATCCGTAATGCTCTACAAAGATAACAGTTCGACATACAATGTGCTAAACCAAAATATCCAAGAAAAAGAAGAACAAAAAAGTGTACTACACTCCGCGCACGATTTGGCTATCATCGGAGCAAGAGCAGTAAGTGCAGAGACCGTGGGCTCTATGGCAGCCCTGGAGCGGGACCTAGTCGACTACCGGAAGCGGTACAAATTGGCACTGCCGCTCGCCAACAGGCTGTTTGGGCGCTTCGCCCGTCGTAAACCTCTCAACTGGAAACATCGTCGACAAGTCGGCTCCGCGGAAGAACCCCGGAGGCGCCGTCTTCAAAAAAGTTACTAACTAAAAAAAAATAGCGGAAGTTTTTTTAGTAATGCACATAGTACACTTTAATTTCTCCAAGTTCCATTAGTACTTCTTAAAGAGGATAAAGAACGCAACACGGTATTTCACAGATTTGCCTTTGAGCGTCCTCTCATCGTGAGCGATTACGAGGGATTCCAACGCACTGGAACGCATCAAAATGTGTCAACCAGCCTTTGGAATTGAAAGGATGCCATCGTAACTAACCGTAAGTGGTGATTAGAAGGTTGAAAAAGAGAGAACAAACCGAGGACAAAGAAGACACGAAGACAGGTGCTAACTCAACTGGTTTATACTTGAAGTCATCATGACACATATGCAACCCTTTCGCCCAACTCGCATCACAACCAATCACGACCAATACAGCCACCCAGAAACGTCAATTATTTTTGAAGTAAATTAAAGTAAAGAAAAAGATGGTGCGCTAACACAATTGTCATCTCTCTTTTGATAAGTGGTAAGAAGTGCTCTTTAACACCTCGTCGCATGATGGAGATCCCCCCCCCCCCCCCCCCCCCCCACACACACACACACCCAGACACACGAGACAAAAAAATAAGATAAGAAAGGAAAAAGAGCTGCGATCGAACGAACGAACGATCCGATACTTTTTTCACACTGCACCTGAACGGCGAAACAAACAAAACAAGACATGTTGTGGGAAAGATAACATGTACACACGTCGAAATTCCCAAGTATCCCGAGTCCGGCTTACGAATTCAACTACGCAACTTCCGCAAATAAAAATATACAGACGCAAAAACAACAAAAAAAAAAAAAAACACTGACAACGCAAACTACATGTTGGCGCGGGCATACATGGATTCGACCGCAGCACATCAAATCGGGCTTCACCCAATCACAGGCGTTCTGTTCTTTCTCCTCGTGGAACCTTCGAAGGACATGTTGACATCAGAGGCACCTCCCCGCATGCCGACGCAAGAAGCGAGCGTTTAATGCCGGAATGGCTCAAACTCGACAGCTCGATAGATGGCGGCTCCCCCACGCGCGCCGTCCCCGCACAAAGCAGCATCCAGTGCTGCCGTCAGGGCGCACCTCGCCCAGCGCCATTCCGGCCGACAACAATTAGAATTACAGGAAGTGGGCCGCCGCTATTCGCACGCCGAAAGAAACACACACACACCTGAGACACCGGGGGGAATGCCTAAAAAGAAGATTGCAAGAAAACAGGACGGGCAGGGACCATACTTCGTTTCACCGTAACTTGACAAAGAGCGAACGCTGCGGCCATTTTCCAGCCATTCAGAGCAGCGGAGCCGAATCATGTGGGGGGACAGCCCTCACCCAAAGGTGACACTGGCGAAAGCGTAACCCAAGCAGTTGGAGATTAGGGGAAGGAGAACTCCCCGCGTACCCGGACCCTCTTTCGTTTGTCCCAGACGTCGCTTATGTACCCCACCGTACAAAAGCGACTGTCCACTCTTTCCCGCCCGTGGCTCCGAAAGCACTGCGCAGAACTAGCGAGATAGAGTACGGTCACGTGTCTCTCTCCGACGCGCTGATTGGCTCACCGGGACCGTGCAGTCTTCGCCGCTTGCCAATAAGTTACGGCGAGACAAAGTATAGAACACATCAGCGACGGTCCGTAGGACCCGGCCGGGCTGGCTGGCACCCGACCAAAGGGTCCCAAACTTAGGCGGGACACCCCTCGTACCCTCCGCTGCACCCCCTCCTTCTTCCCCTCGCCCGACGAAAACAGCGGACTCCGAACGCCGAAACCGAACCCTGAGGTGCCTCCTCCACCCGCGGGCGCCGGAGCCGAAGAGGTCCCCGCCAGAACGTGCACGCGCCGTTCTTCGCCAAGGGCTAGGTCCTCCAGGGTCTCCCTCTTGCAGACCACCCATGGTGCAGGCGGGACGACGCTGCTTCTAGTCGCCGAGGACATCCGACAGGATATCGACTAGTCGGGGACAGAGGGGAAGCGAGACTACTCGAGGACTACTCGAGGACCAGCGAAGGTCGGCCGGGGTCGGACCAGCTCCGGGGCCATGGCTCCCACGGCGCAGGAGAAGGTCTCGGTGGACGCCCGTGGCGTGCTCATCATGATCGTCGCGCTGGCCGGCATCGCTGCCCTATGGGTGAACGGTGAGTGCGTCCAAGAGCCAGTCGCGACCGTCTGCCTCTCGTGACCTCCGCGACGAAAGCTTCAAGGTCGCGCAAACCTGACCGTGCCTCTCCTCCTCGCTTCAAGAAGTGGGGTCTCTGTCTCAAGGTTACCATTAGTCCTCAATGAAGATCTTTGGAGTCATTATCTTCTCAATTATTACCTATAACATCGGTGCCCGTGCCCGTTACGTAGAGGGGCACGGTTCAAGTTGACGCTGTACTTTTTTCGATGCAATTTGGGGTGTCAGAAAGTACCACAAGACCCCCGAATGAGTCTCAAAGCGTTAATTCGAACCTTCAGGTAGTCAGCGATTTCCGCCTCAAATTTTGTACATAGTATAAATATGTGCGATATCAACCTTCCACGCTTCCCACATTTATGTCTGCGTTTATATGCATGCAACCGTAGCCCATCCGGAGCAGAAAGGGGTCACTCATACGGCCCCAGACCCTATCTTTCCTTCTGGTCTATCTAATCAAATAACGCATCCCTCTCGATTCGACGCAACAGCGCGGCTTATCTGCATTTTACTTATATGTTAACATCACCGACCGATTTTAAACTGACAATCGGTCACCACCACCTGCTATGCCAGTACCTGACCTTCATCCCCAGCGCAACGAGTTACCGTCAAACCGATACACATATATTAACGTGGAAGTGGAATAACTGCGGACAACCAGGCGTGCCTCGCAAGGTGAAATTGGTTGGGCCGATCCACAAACTTGCAGCACTGACGACACGGACCCGTAATGATAGGGTCACTGCAGCTACCAACGCACAGACGCGCGCGTGTGCGAGCGCGCCTTCGCTGTAGTCGCCCAAGCGCCCCGGAGCCCTCCATTCTATAAATAAGCCCGGTCCCAAAATAAGGTGTCCGTCACTCGTTCGTGGCGGTCGCCCGCGCGCTAAATGCCACACCGTGGCCTCCTGACCGGAAAGGCGAATGAAGGCGCGAAGACACCATCAACAACGTGCACTGGGAGACCCGCTTCCGATTGGTGTGGCTCGGCCTTCGAAATTCTCTTTCGGCAAGGCTTATGCAGTGCGCCTAGATTGGCAGAGTGTTTCCGACTGCTCCATCGAGGTCACGTGGTTTATGGACCGCGTTTGCAATTCAATCTGCAAGGCGAAGCGTCTATCGTCCACAAGCGTCTCCAGGCTTTTGCTCAGCCACTCCGCCAACTGTTCCCCTCGCCACGCAGCAAAACACGCATGCGCACGAGCGACCAATCGGCACGAGAGCTGTCCTCCATTAAATTGCAAACACTCCGTGGTTTGAGTTGCTCCCTCTCTTAGATCTAGGCTCTCTAGGCCTACTTTCGACGACCTCGATGTCGTTCAGGAGGCTTCAAGCTAACCCGGTCACGAGTAGACTCAAAGGAATGCCGTCCAGCTCAAGCTACATATCTGGCAAACCAACATCTATTGCTGGAACGACTGAAGAAGAGGCACCCGGTTATATGCCTTGTCCGAGAACATTATGACGGCCGTGTTGCTGGATGTATTCCACATCTTCAACAATGCACGTGGTAGGGCTATTTGTATACAATACATGGCTCGGACGCGACGTCAGCGCTCCATGTTGGTAGTCATTCCTATTTGTTCTTGCGGAGAAAGACAAAATCAGTTGTGCACAACAGATGCTTCAAAAGATACGCGCTCAGCAGCAAGGACACCATAATGGCAGCTGACGACGTAAGCGCAAATCATGTATTACCCGGCCAAGAGAGGAGCATCTTGCCGTGCGATTCCAAGATGCTGCATTCTCATGGCAGGCACTTTCCCACGACAGGAGCGGCACATATGTCCTATATGAACGTCGTCAAGAACCCATGCAACGTTGAGACATCCTGATGACGCTCATGGAACAGTGTGTGCCACCGAGGAAACGATGCGCACTATCTACCGAGGAAAGCGATGTGCTACCGAGAAAAGCGACGCGCACGATCAAAAACGTTGCTGCAGTCGGCCCAACGCGATCGGCCAAGAGTTCGCTACGGCGTCTTTAAAATAATTTATATAATCTAAAAAAAACGGCTGATGTTAGATTACCGACATTGACGGTGTTGCTGTCGAGCACACGACGATTATGCTTCGTTTCAGCTTCGGTCCAGACGCAGCCAAAGCTACAAGCGCGAGCTCCGGGCTTTCAGCATCCCTGGCAAGCACGCGCGCTCGTGCAGTGCAAGCACTGTTCTGGGCCTCATGCTCGCGCTTGTAGCATCGGCTGCGTCTGGACCGAAGCTGAAACAAAGTATACATGCTTCCACCAACTCTTCGCTCACACAGTCAGACTTTCTCTTGCAATTAACACCGACGTCGCCAAACCATCGAGGCAAATCATAGTCATCGGCAGGAACTAGTCACTCGATGAGCTGCGCTTAAAATTGATTGTGGGCGCCACCATTTTGGTGCCTAGAGAAGAGCGCGGGCGCAAACAGATTTGGCCCATTCAAAAATGCGACTTCTTGAGCTTTAGATACGCGGTGTGCAGGAACCTCAGGCGATATCGTTTAGTTCCGCCGCGGACTGGTGCGCACATCTCCGGGAAGCGGACACCCGTTTTTTTTTTTTTTTTTTTGTTTTTTTTTTTTGCGATTTCAGATAATAAAGCTTCAGATACCTTGCAACAATGCTTTCAAGCACCAAGATGTGGCCGAGCTGTCGTACTTATTCAGTGGCTCTAGCAGGGAGGGCGCTGCACAAATATATTTCGCCAACATACCTCAAGAGCGCTGGGCGGCGCCGTTAAATGCACGGAGGCGAGCACGTGAGTTTACGAAGCGCTTTCCCCGTGGGTGTACGCGTGAAAACAAAGCCTTCTGCAAAGTTACGTCCTCACATCTGAGGCTTCGAGAGCACTAAACCATAGCCTCCTCTATACTCGCAAAGCATGCGACGACGGAGCCATAGAGTGCCCGGTCGCAGATTTGGAGCGCGAGGATCTGGTAGCACAGAGCATTTCTCGGCGAACCTGGACGTCAGCGCACAGCTTTAGCAGCGGCGAGGGCCCGAAACGTCGTTTTCAAACCCGACGAGAAAAGAACCGGGAACGCGAGGAGCACGAGCGGACATTCCATCGCTCGGGAGAAGTGTGTTTCGGCGTCTCGCCGCAGCGGGGTGCCAGTCACGTGGCTCTTTCCTCTCATCCGCTGTTCTGCCGCTCTACCTCTTCAAATTCGGTGGCCGCTTCTCGTGACGATCTGCCAGTAGAGAGGAGGCTAAGGCTAAACAAAACATTCCAGAGGGAGCCATGGGTGACTCTTCTGACCAAATAATGTACGTAGCCACGCACGTATAGCTCGCTCCGATACGGCTGGCAATAGTGTAGCCTATACATATACGGTTTTAAGCTAGCGCAATGAACTTAGAAAGTGGAGCAGTGGAAGTGTGTGAGACTGCATTATGAAGATAAAGATAAAAAGACGAGACAATGGAAAAACGAAGTCAGCCTTGCTCATCACGCTCGTCTGCACCCGGTATTAGTAAAAAGATTAAAGAAAAAAAAAAAAAAAAAGAAATCGAGGCTGAGAGAGAAGGAATGTCTCAAGTACCATTGGGAAATTAGAAACTATAGAATTTTGATAAGCGTGGAGGATCGTGCAGCATTTAAGATCTCTGCAAATCATCCATAGAAGACTGAAAGCGCCAAAAGACACGGGAAGAGAATCTACCACGCGTTACTAACAACTGAATTCCTTTTTTAATTAATTTAATCGTCAGTAGGTGGTCCCATCCTCCTGTGCACGCGCCATTTAGCCATTTCGGTTTTGTAACAAGATACTGACTAGTCAGCCTATACTCGTACATCCCTGGTTGACCATAGTTGCGTGGAATGTAGCGTATCACAAGTCCGGCTTCGCTTAGTTAGTTCAGGATAGGAAACTGAACTCTACATACATAAAAACAACAACAGAAAAACAAGATTATTAAACTGCATAATTGCTCTTCGAATCAGAAAGGACCCCTGAACCTGTACGCTTAACAAGTTGTTTATGAAAGCCCGCCACAGCCACCTACTATTTTTACAATATATAAAACAATAATGCTTAAAATTAAAAAAAAAAAAAGCCTCTCGTTTTTTAGAATGTCACGGCGCTGCATCAGCTAACCCCAGTGCAACTGTGCCAAAAAGTCAGCCTAAACGCCCCCCCCTCACCCGAAGGAATTGAAAAATACGCTGTGGATAATTTTGGCATATGAGAGGAGGTCCGTGCCAATCCAACAAAACCGACTAGGAAATAGATGCCAGTTTTTATTAACTTACTCTCCTTTTCTCTCCTTTCAGAATTCATGCCGGCGGACGACGGCTTCGATCGTGAGTTCAAATTTCTCGCTCGACTTACGACCGTAAACATCGGGCCGACGTAATCGACACCCTTGGATACACTTTTCCCGGGGTTCCATTTCCCCCATCTCGCTTTTTCAAAGCATCACCGTGTTTAGTCCGAGAAGCACGAAGCCATACCACCCAGACGAAAGGCACGCTCATGACGTCATAAACGGTGCATCCCCGACCCGCCCCAAGCGACAAACACGCTCGGCGAGACTACGCCACAAAGCGGCAATGCCTTGCCGTCGCCGCGCGACGCTGACGCGCGCGCGGCGACGTTGACGCGCGCGCGGCGACGTTGACGCGCGCGCGGCGATGTTGACGCGCGCGCGGCGACGCTGACGCTCGCGCGGCGACGCGAGCTAGGTTGCGCTCCGTGGATCCACTAGCGATGACGTCAGAGGAAGACTAGTGCAGGCCTTGTCTTCTAGGTGGCATTGCACCTACTCGCACTTGCGACGTCATCGTCAATCCGATCATCTTCATCAACGGCCCAAAGTACCTTCCTCAAGCTTGGTCTTGTTAGATTTCTCACACAAAATTATAGACGCTTTGCACACGAGCTATATTGCAGCCGCCATTACTGACCTTCTCTTGTCTTACCGAGATCCCAAGCCACTGAAGCGCGCTTTGAGGAGCCTCCACAAAGGCCATTGCTGGGGAGAAGGACACAGTCGGATCTAAAATGACAATAACCTGTCTTGCTGGGGCAATGATGGAGGGAAGTGATCAAAATAAAAGGAAACAAAAACTGAAGGTCACTTATGGCGGCGCCCATGAACAGCTGCTGAAAAGCGTCTACATGTTTCGTCAAGTCTGAAGAAACGCTGGATATTCTGTTCTCACCAGAAACTCGAGCAGACGCGGCTTTTCGAACTCTCTCTCTACATCTTCTCGATCAGTCAGTGCAAGCGAGGAGGTTAAAAATATTAGAAGACACTTCTCCACGAAAATGTTGTTTGCGGAAGCTACGGGGCTGACGTCATGCTCACTCCATCATGAAGGATTGCGCTAAAAAGTTGGGAAAATAAAAGAGTTTGCACGAAGAATCCTTTAAAAATTGCTACTTTTTCCGTGGTCAGAAAGTAGTCAGAAAAGTCAGTAGATAGACCATATGCGAAATGTAGATCGCCATCTAGTAGCGCGCCGAGAACTACGCCCGCCATCTTGGTAGCGGGGAGAAAACGAAACCAGCAAACCGGCAGACCCCGTGTAAAGCGACCGCGCGTCGTGCGAAAGATGCAATGCCAACGCGCTGCTGTGTTCCCGCTGCGGATGCAACGATAAACCTTTCAATTCGCGCGTGATGTGAACGCAAACGTGAACAGGGTTCCCAATTTTTTTTCTTTCTTATTTTTCTTTGTTATTTGAGACGCAGCTTTTGAGAAAAACAATCGGTGACAACGCGAAGAAACACGCGGACGTCATCGAGCGGCGTGAACCCATTTACAACTATGGAACTGTGCCTTAATCTTTTCACAAAGTTCTACCAAACTTGTTTCTAAACTTTTTTTTATTCACGTTGTAATGTCGGTTTGCCTTTTTTTTTTTTTTTTTTTTTTAATGCGCAAGTAGCTTAATGTATGCGGACGAGACCGAGGACAGTTTTAATAGTCTGCGCCACCAATCCTAATTTAAGATGCGTAAATGCGTTTGCGGACCAGCTGGTATGGGCCTTCGGTCTTTCTGCTCTTCTCCCGACCCTCTTGAGCCAAATACATGACAAATACATGAAATGAAGTGGTTAACAATGAACAGAAGATGAAAGCACCACAGAACCCTCATTTTAATGTCATACATTAAAAAAAAAAAAAAATACTTTGGAAAGCTAGAAAACAATCTCATTGCTTCGCAGCGATTTTTATACACTTGATTTGGCGTCGGTAAACGAGTTTTGTAAAACACCTCTAAGACTGAACAGGAGAGTTTGTTGATATGATATCCTTGAATATTTAAAGCGCGGTCATGAAGAACAAAAAGCACAACAGACACGGACGACGTGTCTGTTTGCTCAACATTCACAGAGACGGGATTTTGCTGTCTTTTTTGTCGAACGCCACGTACCGATTATGTCAAACGTGGCGATCGACTTAGGTTCATCGCAGTGGCTAAAACTTCGATGTCGGCGGCGACGAAAACTTACGTTGCGGACGTCGAGTGGAGCAACACGGGCGGTGCAAATTTCATTTCACAATCTCCTTTTTTTTTTTTTTTTGTCGCAGTTGAGGTAAAAATTTTGTTTAGTATCAAGAAGCTCGAAGGGTAGTTCTGAGAAGGTCAAAGCAGTTATTCTGCCAGGGTTCAACAAATATTCATTAATAGCGCAACATCTGTCAACTGTATCTGAAACCAATTTAAGCTCTTTGCAACGCCTGAAAAATATGGCCCGGGGCACAGTTCCCTTTAGAAAAACACCCTGCTTTCCACCAAAAAAACTTTTGCCAGTAACAACTACAAAAAAAAGTTCAGCTGGAGTCGCACGTATTGGCGTGGAGCAGTCTGCCGCGAAAGAGTACGACTTCATGCGTATTCACATCGAAAAAAAAAAAAAAAAAGAATTGAAAGTGTCTTCAGAGGTGACAGCCCAGTCCTTTGCCCATGTTGGGTGATCGGAAGTCAGAAAACAATAAAGTTTCCAAATCGCACTAAGTGGCAGAGCATCCATGGCCCGGAAACGCCGAGAAGCCGAAACTCGAAAACTTGACGCTATCAAACTGGCCGCGTGCAGTGCTGCCAAACCACCAAGCAGTTTCGCGTATCGTCTATTGTCGTGCGGAACTGCAGACAGCAGGAAGCTATAGACAACTCCAAGAGGCGTCTCATTTCTCTGCTATGAGCACCGACGGAAAAAGAATGTACCGGAATGCGCGAATCCGCTTCACACAGTCGCTTCTCCTCAGTGCAACAGTGTCCCGTGCGAAGCGCACTCAACGGAGCTAAATCACTAAAACAGATCTCGAACTACGCGAAAGAGTTTCTTTATATATTTCGTGTGCGCGCGGGTTGGTTTCAAGTTAACTAAGAGCATCTGGTGCGGAGGACTGAGGATTGATTTCGACCAGCCAGGGATCTTTTGACATGCAATGAAAATTCCGGCTACACACGGGGCCTTCTCCCGCAACAGGAAATCTCCGTCACATCGCGGGCACCTAGGCCGGGGTTCGAACCCGGCACCGGCCGCATGACTAAGCTAACAAACCGACAGTGTAGCGGGGTCTCGGACTTCAGAATGGGAAATTAACTTTTGTTGCAACGTTGGCCAAAGTCGTCACGTGCCGGCGAAGGGCAGCAGGACGAGTCACGTGGCGCTGCAATCGCATCACTGCATGAGAGACCATCCGTTCGCGCTAACAGCGCCGCGATCTGTAACTGCCTTTCTGACAACGCAGCCAGCACCTACGTCTACCGGTCACCGCAGTCACAGCACAAAGGGCACTCCAGGGAAGCGACGAGGGAGCCGCCGAAACCGGTGCTGCTCTCTCTGGAGGACTGCGGCAAACTCGCACAAGATGCCGTACGGGAGTATGTCCAACGACACGCCGCCGAACCGAGGGACGATTCCGCCGAAGACAGCGCTCCGACCGACGACGACGAGGCTTCGAAAGCCCGGTGAGCGGTAACACTATTGGCCCGTATACACCTTTCCAAGAAACACTCGACCCCAGGGGTAGCAAACCGTTTTCAAGCCCAGTCACTGGGTCTGAGGCTAGACTCTCACTGGCGTCCCTGTTAACCCTAACCGAGTGGACTGTGATTTCTATAGGCGCAGCCTGCGTAGACGCAGTTTCAAACACTGCTGGCGGCTGAATTCTCGTCCTTTCCCGCTGTATCTTGTGTTTCATGGTGCATGTATTTTCGCGAGGTCACTAAGAAAGCATTGTACCACATTTGAAAAGAAACAGAAAGCAATAAAAAACCTATAAACTATGTTTGTGGGTACGTGCGCGACAGAACGAATGCGACCGGAAAGTATAGTTCTAGTTTTTTTTGTTTTAGTCTTTTACGAAAAGTTTTGACGGCGCTGCGCGATTACCGCATGTCAAACGACAAAGTGCTTAGCTGTCAAAAATAATTTACAACACAAAATAGCCGCAAGGCATGCATTTTTCACGCTCACAAATAATGTGTTTATCGATGGACAGGACACGGACATAAAATTTAGCAAGTGTTAACATTCGAACAATATATTGTACGTACCACACGATGCAGCGTTATCCAAAAAGAATTTATTTGAGAAAGATCTCAACTAACACAGTCACAGTCGATGACAGTCACATTTTGACGATCGGACGGAATCCAAGCTGACTTCGCTTTGGGGCACGTTTTGGAGAGAGCTTCCTTTTTTCACAACGGCACCAAGGCAAGGAAAGAACGCGACTGACCCGTTTTTCACCCCAACCTGGACAACTATTTTTGGAGATGACTGAGGATTCTCCGCGGATTATCTCTGGGAGGGGGAAGAACAATGTTCGCAAAATCGCGTCGAGGGCCGTTCGACGTCCTTCACCTCCTTCGTTTCCCGTGAGTGTCAAGCAGGAAAGCTTGAATGGCAGGCACTTACCAGTCATATTTCTCACAGTAAAAGATAACACAAAAGGGTACGCAGCACGCATAAAAAATATTAAGTGGGAACTTTCAAGAGGGGTTGGAGAACGTCGAATGCAAAACCGCAAAAACGTAGGTAGAGAACCGCGCTGAGCGGCTCTTCACAGTCCAAGAAAGTGGCAGAAAATTTCTAGCTGATAGAGGGCGCGAAAGTCGCACCAGCCCCATCAGCATCAGCAACATGGCGGCGGCCTAGGAGCGTTTTTTGGAAAGGTGTATACGTACACACACATGGAGCCTTAAACCCCCCCACCCTCCCCCCTTTCTTTTCTACAAAAAAAGCGCAGCAAGCAATATGGGCACGTGCCACACTACGATACCCCAAGCAAAGCACACATAAAGGTACCTCGGAAAGGAAAATGGGAGAGGAGGAAATGAACGCAATGCTGGCCGAGGGAAGGAGGAAACTCTCTCCCCTCGCCAGCGCTGTATTGGCTGTATCCGCTTCCTTCTCTCCCACCTTCCTTTCCCTCGCCCTACCTTTTTAACAAACTTGGGAAACTGCCATAGAGCCTACTCTGAAAAAGTGGCACAGATCCGTACTCGAGAACCGAACTAATGGCGATCGCAACGCCGCCATTTCTCCCGCAGCAGCAACTCATGGAACTGCACGGCTGCACGTATTCGTTGAGGTCGAACTGCCCAAGGGCCGGTGGCGCCATCTCGCAGTATCACATTCAATAGCGTCCGCTGTTACTTTTCAATTTTGGCTTTGAGCGGCCATACCGGCACCAGAAAATATACAGCGGACAGGGTTTCGAACTCCGTCTCCCAAACGGACGCGCCGCAATTATTCACCGAAGATAGGACGCAGTCAGGTCAGGACGCGCTACCTGAGGCCACTAGTGAGGCATGGCTGCATAAAAACAATATTAATTGTGCCCCAAAATCCTCTAAACTAACCTTTTATGCAAATATCACGCTCCTGTCATTCTGTACTTATCTCCAATGAAATTTCCTACAAAAACAGCTTTTTCCATTTCTTTTTATGCAAAAACATGCTTTCTAAAAGCTCATCGTGACCACATTAAAGAAAAAAGAGAGCCGCCATCTTGGCACCTTGAGCCTGGGGGTGTCGGTACTCTGGGAACATTCAGTGACTCTAGCAGTCACAAAGCAACTTAAATGTTTCAACTCGTAGCTAAAAGGTGGCGCTGTTATCAAATTTAGCTCGGTTTCGATGGACGCCAGCAGTCTAGGTTTCAAGGGCGAGTTGCCCGAGTGTTTTAGTAACATTGCCTAGTGCTACGGCTGTACTTGCATTCCCAATTATTCCTTTGCCTTTCCTCTGTGATCACGTGCCGTCAACATCGGGTATTAAAAAGAGTGGCATCACCCTAAGCAAAAGAATGTTGACCCACCTAATCTAGATCCCATCATGCGCCAAAAGTGTGCTACATGACCTTGTGCATCACGCACCATAATCTCTTGTATTCACCCATCAGAAAGGTCACGTGGCTTGCTCTTGGAGCCGCATTGGCTGGGATGGTCGACAGCGTCCATTGCCGTCGACAAACGACTTCAGTCGCCCGTCAACGTATCACTGTTGTTAGACCGGCAATGCTGAAAGTCCATGACTGTTGCAAGGCTGCAGTGTAAAACCTGCTGCAAGTAGAAGTGAAGGGCTGTCCATACAGGACACGTTTTCTGCTGTGGACAGCGTTTGCTGGACGGAAGCAGGGCCTCCGCTACCGGTCCACTCTGGGACGTTTCTTGCCGGGCGGAAAGTCACCATCCGTCAGCGTCCTTGGACAAAGCCTTGGAGCGTACCCATAACGTAGGGTAGGACCTAGCCACCCACACATACTGCTCGCTGTCGTCAGGGCCTCCGCTATTGTTGTCAGTCCCTAACCTCCCAAGAACAAGAAAGGGGAGGGGACGACACTGAGGAGGAAAGCAGTGCTGTTTGGCCGTTTGCGTCGTTAATATCCTCATTGACAATGAGTGCGAGCGCCATAATGTTAGTTTTTAAGAAACATGCACTTTTTTTTTTTTTTGTCTGTGCATAGCAGAAAGCGTTTCCTGTTTGGACAGCCCTTGATGCAGCAAGCAGTGGCAGGTTTTGTAGTCGGCAGTGATCAATCCGTTTCCTAACATTTCTGAGAATTCACAAGCAAAGCTTGTACAAGCACAGACAACAGAATAGCATCGTCAAGCCTATAGTGTTTATCCGGTCTTTAGATATTGACCAAGCGAATTTGCAACGTCTGACCATTCTCGCTCAGTTTATCTACAATGATGAAACAAACTGGTTGCAATGATGGAGGGTAAAAAATGTGTAAAAATGTTTAGTTTGCTTCTAAAAGGCATCTGTCTCCACAGCAAGACACCATGATCTCACTTCAAGGCAGGTTCCACCCTACCCGATGTCACACCTGTTGCTGGGTTTAGCCTCTTTCTGGAAAAATTAGTATGGGCCTTACGCGGGACAAAGGTTTCAAAGCGTGTACCCCAAAATGTAATGGCTTTCCAGCAAAGCCACTTCACCCATAATCAGTCCTGGGTGAAGACTGTCTTGCAGTTCACGTGTTTTGAATTTCCTCTGTCGGACCCCTCAAACGCCATTTTCTCCTTCCTCGCAGCGACTACGAAGAAGCGTCCATGACCGAAGAGCACAGACACGGAGGCAGCAAGGCTGCAGCACGACACGCCGAAGCTGAGGACACGTCAGCCCAGTCGGAGGAGGAACACGAAGAAGCGCACGCACCGGAACTTGCCGACAGCGAAGAGGTAAAGGCCAAGCCAAGAAAGAGCAAACCGGTTGCGCAGACTGAAAAAGAACTGCCAAAGACTGACGGAGATGCGCCAAAACCCGCAAAGAAAGCAAAAAAGACCAAGAGATGTCCCTAATGTGCCACTGCGACAACCCTGCATTCGCAGACTAGACAGTTTGTCCAGTAGTCACAAGTCCTACCCTAACACAGCAATTTTACACATTTTTCGGTGTAAACATTTGCCACAGGACTAACACCTCTGTTGGCTAGTATAACTTTGGTGTAAACTTGCCGACGAAAGAGAAAACTTAAAGATGACTCTAGAATATCACCAAGATACCTTTTTGTTGCAAGCTTACACTAAAACTAACAATTTTAGCCTTGGGCCACCATTTAGACCGATATAGGTGTGGACATTTTTACCGTGTACCCCGTTTCAACTTGGCAATGGACCACAGCAGACGGTACGGGCCATGCAGCCCTGCCAATCTGGCACTGGGAGGCTCTCATGTGACCTTGCATTCCGTGAAATATTCTGCCAATTTGCAAGATTGTGTGACACACCTCATGAGTGACCCACAGTGGTCGCTGTGTTCCACTTCCAAGGCAGAAAGGGGGTCTAGGCAACCACTTGGCAAGCTCTTCTCATAAACATGACAATGAGACTGACAATCGGATGTCTGTTGTCACGCCCATGAGAAGGACTGGTTAACCGTTTGCCTAGCAGGCCAAGGCCGTAACGCACAAGACATAGTAGTTGATGTAACCATTATATGCTCACTCCCAGCGATCTTTCAGTGTGATGCATTGCAATGTAATAACCGGAATGAATGCCTATGCTTTCTGTAAGAGCGACACCTCAGGTGCGAGAGTTTCGTTTGTCGGCCCTAGATAGCGATTTGGTGCCCTCCCGTGTCTTTGCTATTGGATTGAATACCCGACGGGGTGATTATCGTGATTGGATGTGATCTCACCGCTTGGCATTTGCTACTGTTCACCTCCAACAAAATGTATGCCGCCAACCGTCGTAACTTTAAATAAAACTCCAAGAAAAGCAAAGCTGAAAGCCCATGTCTATCTGTAGATAGAGGCACATGTCCACGAGCTCTGTCCTCCGCATCTGCATATGGCAACAGCACTTGAAATTTATTGTATTATTAGAGCCCGTGGTTCAAGGTGTCTGCTAAAAGATGCGTCAAAACCGGAAAGAGATCATAACTGTCAGCTTGACGACTACCACCCTAACAGCAAAGCGGGCCATATTTCACATGCCATCAGCACCTCCGATCGGTTGCGGCAACGCGAGGACCTCTCCAAGTTCGTGTGGGAGAAACCTGGTTTTTCTGCAACAAGCAGTGACCAGGTCGCTTGCTTTAGAAGCAGTCACTTCCATGATGTAGCAGGATAAGCCACATAAAGAGAGTACCATAGCTAGCAGCAAACGTCCAGCGGTGCGGAGGTCCAGAGCTGCATGTAGTGGACGCTTTCAGTTCCAGCTTGCCCCATTCTTGAACATTCCTCAAGAATGGTGCTCACGCTCGTCTCTTCCCCTCTCTATCAAGAAAGCACACCATAAATGAGCCACGTACGCGGCTTAATGCATGCGCAGAGCGTGCACTTGAGCAAATGCCAGAGTCTGCACTGCATGAACATTGGCCGCCATTCGAGCAAGTCGCCGAAACTAACCCTAAGCCTCGGCCGCAGGAGGCAAGCGAGGAAGGAGGGACGACCGGACACGAAGCGGAGGAAGAGAGTGAAGAGGAGGTAGGGGCCACTGAAGAGGAGGAGGAGGAAGAGGAGGCTGAGAGTGGGGAAGAGACGGAAGGTGAGCATGCACCAGAGGAGGAGGAGGAGGAGGAAGAGGAAGAAAACAGCGACGAGGCAGATGCAGGACTAGAAGCCGAGGAGCCCGAGGGCTCCGAAGAGGAAGGAGGCTCGTCTGAGGGAGACAAGTCTCAAGAGCAGGAAGAGGAGGAAGAGGTCCGGGCTGGACCACGCTCCCGTAAACACATCGCCGACGTGCTAGGCTTCAGGGACATTGGCAGCGACGACGACAAGGAAGAAGATGCCCTGATCCAAGAGATCCTGCAGGAGCTTAAGAAGCTCTCGGTGAATGCCATTCAGCCCATGGAAAAGCTCTACAAGTTCAAGGACATCAGCACCAGAGTGCTTGGAGGTAAAAGTTAACACTGTTCACAATATCCTGGAAGTCTAACAGAAAAAAGAAAAGAGCCAGATACAAATAATTTGCACGAGAAAACAAAGACTTGTGTCAAAGGACCCAGAAAACTTCAAAGACTGAAGTACACTTTGCGCTTTCCACTTTTGCCGGCTTACTTCTTTCCTAAATCCTCTCCACTTTTTGCCTTGCCTCAATTTGGGTCCTCTCACAGCTTAGGGGAGAGAAGCGCTGAGAGGATTATTTTCCTTGCAGAAAACCGAGGTTGTATGTTGGCCTTTAACTGTTTCTCTGATGATTCCTTGCGTGTAAAACTAGAAATGCCAGTCTTCCACTTCTTTGCAGAGTAGATCAGGTAATCTTCCGCCATACAGCGGTCCAGACCGTGTCCAACATATTTAACTACAAAAAATGTTTCAATGAAGCTTTATACAGCAATATCTGTGCAGTGCACGACCGATGCAATAATGACAAGCTTCACCATCTTTTCCTATTCAGATGCAGAAATCTTCAACAAGCCGATGGCTCTCTTCTTGGGACCGTGGAGCGCCGGGAAAAGTAGCGTCATCAACTACCTGCTCGGAACGGAGCATACCAAGGCAGGCCTCAAGACAGGTACACACTCCAAACACCGTCCCATTCATAGACAGAAACGCATAACACGGAGCCGAGCCCCAGTTCAACGCGTCTTTCCCGACATTGCAGGCCCCCAACCGACGGACATAGACTTCACCATTGTGCACTATGCCGACAAGCTGCAGCGGGCCAGCGGCACCGAAATGGCCGCCCACTGGGCGTTTTCGAGCGTCAACAAATTTGGACAGGGGTTCCTTGACCACTTCAGGGGCATCGGGCTGCCGCATCCACTTCTGCAAAAGGCAAGTCGTTGTCGTGCACAACGTCCAAATTTCGCTTGGTAAGCGGCAATCCCCTCTTCTTCATTCCAGGTCACCATCGTGGACACACCCGGCATACTCGACAAGCGCAAGGTAGAGAACTACCCGTTCAACGACGCCTTCCAGTGGTTCATTGACCGCGCCGACGCCATCTATGTCGTCTTCGATCCCAGCAAGCTCGAGATCGGCGAGGAGATGGCCACACTCCTCGACCAGCTGAAAGGGCGCGAGGCGCAAACACGGTTCCTCCTTAACAAGGCCGACTTTGTCCAGCCGCACGACATTATGCGCGTCACGGGCCAACTCCTGTGGAACGTGTCCCCGCTCCTGGGCAGCAGCGAGGCCCCTGTCATCCACACCGTCTCGATGACCTCGAGGCCCTACCACGCCGGAACTCCCGCAGAGTTCTTCCACGAGCAGGAGCTTGCGCTGCTCGACCACCTCCGCGAGATCATGGACGAGCGCGTCGAGAACACTATCGCCTATGCGCGCCGACACGCGGTGCGCGTCCGCAACCACGCCAAGCTTGTCGACTGCTACCTCAGCACCTTCTACAAGCAGAAGGGCATCTTCGGCAGCAAGAAGAAGGTCGCCGAGGCCATCACCAAGGAGCCCAACAAGTACAACATCTTCGAGGGCCTCAGCCGGCTCAACAACGTGAGCCGCTACGACCTGCCGGACCCTCAGGTCTACTATAAGTTCTTCAAGCTCAATCCAGTGTATGAATTCAAGCCCCTGATCGACACCTGCACCTACTTCAAGGGGTGCCCCCTGGACAAGCTCGACATTGCCATAGCTTACGACCTGCCACAGCTTTTGGGCAAGTACAACGACAAGACAAAGCTCAAGAAGGACCATGAGAAGTCGGCCACCGGTCAGGTTCCGGTGCCGATGGGTGCCGAGGAGCGACGCAGCTGAGGAGGAACTGCTGCTCCCTGATCTCGAGAACAAACGTCCCAACAATGTCGGAAGTATGGCGTCGGGGCCGCGGCTAGAAAGTTGTGCTCTTCTGGAGCTCCGACACTGCAACCGCTACTGGCTTTAAGTGGTCGTTCGCTGGGTAAAAAAAAAAAAGAAGCGTGGACGCGGCATGAGCTACGCCCACAAGCTTCCGTCGCTGGAGCTGCAAAAAGGTTCAACTTTCTGGTGCGGCCAATAACTGGGGGACGGACCTGACAGCGGGTTTTCTCTGGAGACTCGCCCTTTTGGCTGCCAGTGGTGGATGAAAAACCAGTTTTGAGGGATTCCTTTTTTTTTTTTCTTTTTTCAGGAAGGCACCGTTGTTTGGGTAGAGTAGATGCACCTTCATGGACTGCGAACGAGCAGATGCTCACCGAGAAATTTAGGGTAGCTCCACAAATGCTTCACTAAATACCCAAGGTTGCCCGTAGTACAGACTGGTATGGCGTCAACAGGAAACTAGAGGAATTCCATGAATACCCATAGTTCCATTTGTTCCCAAGTCACGTCATACAAAGGCGTGAAGTAGACTATCCTCAGTGGACGTTTCAATGTTCTTGGTGAACAGTTCATGCATGTAGATGGCACTCCAGTACTGCCCAGTAAAGATGGTTCCCCAACAATCAATGACCACAATGTCGGATGACAAGCTAGTATAATTTGGCAGGTGATGGTCTGATGGCACATTGAAATTAACAAGGACAGGAGGTAACATACCAGATGGCAGAGTAATGCTTTTTAAAATTAAAAAAAATGAGAATGATGGGTGAGATCTTTTTTTTTCTTTTATTCTCGTCAGAAAGTTGCCAAATGAAAGACATTCCCTGTTCACTAACAACCCAATCTCAGCAAAACTTGGCAATTACTTAGCATCTACTTCTCAACTAACCATACAGCTTAGTTCAGAAGTGTCACAACCATGTCACAAAACAAACCTTGTGGCAAAGCAACTCTATGAAATATTCAAGCCTGTGATAATATGGCCGTGTTAAACGAGATCTTCTAATATGAAATAAAAGCTGATGTGAATAAAACTGCCATAACAATGGGTTGTGGTTGTTCAAAGCTGCTCTGGTTGCTCAAAAAGCAACCACAGCGGCTGTGTAGAATCAGCGAACACCAACGACTGAACCATTCTGGCTACGCACTCTGGTACTAGTTTCGGACTGCCTGGGCTCAACGATAGAGCTGCCCCAAGTATTGACTACCGAAACCATAGAATAGTTACTCCTTTGCAAGGCAGCAGAGTTGTCATTCAAGCAACGTCAAAAAAGTTACTCCTACCGTCACCGCAGAAAGGAACGGGCATAAAATTCGAGCCCGACCCTGTTCTGGACAAAAAGTGAAACAAGGCGATTTCTGAAGTCACCAGGGACAAGCATGGGTCAGAAAGGCAAGAAATCCGCCCGTCTCTTTGGTATGCCCCAAAGGAGCCCTAGATGAACGGTATTTATAGATGTGCAATCTAATATCACATGACCATGTGAAACCATAACGTCACAGTGTCACGCAATGTCAGTGTCACGTGACCGTCAGCAAAGCACGTGGTCATGTGACGTGACGTCACCGTTGCATGATGTCACGGTTTCATACGACGAAATGGAACCGCCTGACATGATGTCACAATGCAACATCCTGGTGTCACCTGACGTCAGTGTCACATGAACACTCTGACGTCACCACCGAGGTTACGTGCCACAGAGACGAAAATACATTGAGAGTTGGCCCCTAATACATTGATTAAGACTTCCTTCAGTAACGTTTGTCAAAAAATGCAAAAAGTGTACCCGTGTCATTGCACGAACGATGGCCCAAACCTGCATCGACACCCCACCAACCTTCTTCACCGCACTACCCTCCATGATGACGCACGCAGTCTCCACCCACTGGAATAGCTTGTCTGTCCTTCGATCCAATCTCTCATTGAACTGTGCAAGCGTGACCCAGCGCTCGGCTATGACCAAGACTGAAATCACCGTAAGGGTAAAAAGAACAACAAAACTCACGTTCGGCATCACCTCCTTGAGCCACTCGTTGGCCTCGTCCGTGTAGTCCAGCTTGCAGGCCATGGCAAGATCCTTGGCCGCTTCTTCCCAGTTCCCAAGCAGCCTGGAAGCATAGAAGACAGGCAACATCAGCTTCCAGAAAGAGACTCACTTAATATGTGTCTGACTGCGCACAATGAGCGATTCATTGATGGTTCATTTTAATGCAACCATAAACAGCACTACGCCCCATGTCACAGGCTGCACGCAGCCCTATTAGAGACCCAGGTGCACACTCACACAATGATGGCAAAGTCACATTGGCGAATTAAAAGCAAACCAGGAAAGTTTAGCATTAGGTGAGCATGAGATTCCTCAAATTACACTAATAAAATCGCTGTCTCCAAACTATGGTGCCTGGAACAAGTTTTTGACGGGTGCGTCTACCACCCTATTTCATCCATGCTTCTAAGCTCCACCCGAAGCGGAAACAAATTGCGCCGCAAAAGCCGGCGTGTCGTGCTGTCTGATATCATGATCCCAGCTGCCGGTTGTGGCGGCGAGCAGACGCAACGGCCGCTGTTGTTGCAGAGTTTCGTCTCCCGTCTCCTTTGGTTTTCCCGTTGAACGTCTGGCCGCAAACCGGGCTGCAACAAAACAGGCGTCCGCCTGTTTTATTGCAGCCCGAAGTCACGGCAGCTCGATTTCTGCCGTGACTTCGTCCGGCCGAAATCGAGAGACCACAAGCGAAGACGTCTTCCAGGCACCTTATCAAAACCGGCTGTGTGCCAGCCATTACAAGAAAGGTGGTCAGACAGCAGCCTCTTGGACCACGGTCCATCCCACCTGTTGGCTCGTCCCCTGATCTTGTAGGCCAGGGGCTGGTCCGGGTTCAACTCCAGTGCCCGGTTGGCGTCCCTGATGGCAGCGTTGGGTTTCTCCAGTTTCAGCAGGACACTGCAAAAAGAGTATCGGGAACAGCTCGTTCTCTGGAATACTTTTCCTGCAGCGAGTTTCATTTGCACATATAAAAACGCAAAAGGCACTCGCAAGGAGACAGAGCTGTATTCGGCACCAACTATTTTTGCCAAGCTGTCAAAGTTAGCGTAGCTTCCAGAGCTGGGACCTCACACTGCTGAGGGAGCAAGTGGCTAGGTCTTGTGCCTCATTCGCACGCGCAAGTTGCTCCGAGAGCGCTTGAGTACTGTAGAAGCTACGCTAGCCTTGACAATGCAGCACAAAATAGGTGATGCCAAGTATAGGTAGTCAGTAAACATAGCAAACAAGAACTGCCAATTCCTCTTTTTCGTTAGCCCCTATTATTTTTATCATAAAGTCCATTGCAGTAGTATTTATTCTCTTAGGTAATGAGAATGAGACTTGCTATAACTGTTACCCTAGATGCAAGTTCCAAACCTTAAGATACAGTAAGGTGAAGAAAGCAGGAGTGAAAAGACTCAGTCTGCAGGCGAGTTGGTCTAAGCATGTCGTTTAACACTTGAGACTGTGGTGAAGAAAATAAAGAACTTTTGGTTTATTGTTTGTTCTGTCTTGCCTGAAACAAACGCGTTCGAGACATTCCCTCTTGTGTCTGTTCCTTCGACTAAAAGTTCTTCATTTTCTTCACCACCCTCTTGAGTGCTAAACAACATGAAAGCAAGAGTATCTACATGTCTTTGTTATTCCATTCCGTAATGAACAAGCCTAAACCTCAGTTTGTATCGTTCAGCTTTCATTTCTGTCCTGCACCATTTGTCTCTCCGGACAAAAAATACAATCAGAAATGTGCAAGAAACCAGACTAAAGAGAGTAGCTTTTTTGAATGCGCTACTCTGCTGCACTTTCACTTGTGTCTAAGCACAGACAATTGAACCTGCGTGACTTTACACCGATCCATCTCCGTCTGGAACAGTTGATGACAAATGCCATTTCTATCTTCCACAACTAAATGCCAGGAACAGCAAACCCGATGCAGTATGGCACATCCTTGGGGAAGGCAGCAAGCAGACTCACTTGGCACGCTTGGCAAAAAGAACGGCACCGGACGGGTTTTTCAAAATGGCCTCCGTCCACAGCTTTATCGACTCCTCCAGTTTCCCTGGGAAAGTATGATGGACAGAACTTTCACCTCCTCATTCCTAAAGCAGATGTCAAGCTCCCCCCTCCCCCACCCCCAAAACAAAAAGAGGGCAGCCAGTACTGACCTTCATTTTGAAGCTCCATTGCTTGGGACCTCTTTTCAGAGCTCTCTTCCAGCATCTCGTCCGTCACCTGAAAGGAAGCCACATAATTTACCCCAAAAATAAAACCAGCGCAGGATACAACACAGCACCCCTAAAAGCTAGTAAAACTTAAAAATAGGGCCTTCTGAAGTATGAAAAAAGAGCCCGTCGGAGCAGTAGATGTTCATCAAAGATCCACCTGTTAAAATGGATCGTGGGGCAGTAATAGCCTCTAGAACTAGCATCAAAACAAAGGGTCGACTCGAGCATCCATGCTTCACCTGGCCACACGAGATATTGAATACAACATGAAGGACTTCATTAATGGCTGTCGGTGGCTTTGTTCACTAGTGCATACTACGCATACTAGTACTATTTGCAGACTAGATGCCCAAGGCTGCACGTGGTATAAGGATTCAAACAAAGGTGCCAGTGTATTGAGGGACCAAAAAAGTCACCATCTTTGACATGGCACTAGAACAAGTAAGGTTAGTAGGAAATTGTAAGTGATATGAAAAAAAATGACCGATTCATTCCTTATACGTTTACTGGCCCACGGGAGACTGGCCCACAGGGCTCAAGTTGCGAAGCAATGTGTCGTAATGGCTCACTAACCTCGATGCTAGCATCACCATTTTCGAAGGGCGGTTCATTGTCCGGCTCGATCACGCCGGTGTTGTCCAGCTCTGAAAAGGCACAAAGACAAACAAACGAAAAATCAGACATTTTGGATTTGAAGAGCAAAAGGCATAAGAAAGACCAACGGAATAAGAAGGAGCAAACAACTTTCAGCCTTTCCACTCTGGTGAAGAAGGAAGACCAGTGAAGCTCTATTATGGTGGGAATGAAGTAATGGCCGGCCGAAAGTCGGCAAGCCAGAGTGGAAAGGCTGGAAAGGTTGCCGCCATCTACGAGCAATGGCGGCAACCAGACAACCGGCAAGGCAGTTGCCTGGTTGCTGCCGTCGCTCATAGATGGCGGTAGCTGTCCGGAGTGTTGTGTCGGCATTTCTTTGCTGGCGGACACGATCCTGGGAAAATTAGCCCTTAACAGCTCCACTGTAAAAATAATATTACTGATGAGTAAACAAACAAAGAAGCAAATAAGGGATGCGGTACAATAAGGTGCACCATTCGAAGTCACCACATGCGTAAAGACGGAGAGAGAGACAGCTTAAACCTCTTTTCAACCAAAATAAATATGCAGTACCGTAGAATACCACGCAACTGACAAATCTACACTAAGCGCCCATTCCCAAATTTTTTAGAACTGAGAAAATATGCACAGTATATTTATATGTAAAATTGCTGACTAGACAAGCACCCAGCCCTAATTTTTTCGCGATTGTCTCCAAAATTTGAGTGGGCGCTTGCCCGGTATTTTACGGTAGTTAGCACGTCACGTCACATGATTTCTGCACCTAAGAAAAAACACAGCATTGAACGTCAATATATCAAAGCTTTCGTCCCGACTTGTGGTTCCAGAGACTGTGCCGTAAAATTAAAGAATAAAGAGAAAGCAACAAAAATAGTTGCACCAATAGGGAGTTTTGGACGGTGCATAGTATGACCTGTATCAATTCTACTCGCCTCATACTACATTATACAGTTCCTTGACACTCACTTCACTGGACTATGTCCTTATCATTTAGCTATAAGAAACAAAATTTCAAACTAACTTGCATCGGGGCAATGATTGAATGAGAGCACAAACCCCAATCTACTGAAAGTTTTAACGTGAAACAAAACACATGAAGTAATTGAAGATATACTTCTTTGGGGCATCTTGAGAGTCGACAACTGACACCAGCTACGTGCCACGTCTTCTAGTTGATGTCCGATTCGAGACCAAGTTGATCCGCTAAAGAGCTTCTCTTTTATTTATGTCATAACCAAGAGATCATTCCGACAGTCACCTTCTGCGGGCAGTCATCTTTGTCTACCGGGCCGTGAAATGCATCCAGACCATGTGCAATACCTCTCTTCCCAAGGATCTAAGATGCCACAGACAGTGACTCGACAGCTTTGTCAGAGTTATAAATGCCAGAAAGCTGCATATGAGTATGTCAATGTATGTGTAGCAGACAACTTGCTAAAACCCTTAGCAGTTAGAGCACTAGGACAAATGCTCGAGTAACTTATTTGTTAACTTATGAACTAGCAAGTTCTTAGGTTGGTCACACGGACACGGTTCTTACCAACATCGCTCTCCTCGCTTTCCGGTGTCTCGGGCTCAGTGTCTTCGGGAGTCGAACCGTCTGCCGCGGGCACATCTTCCTGCAAGTTCGTCGTCCGTTTGGTCGTTAAGTTGAGATTACATTGTTTTCAGGCCTCCGCTCGCAATGAAACATGAGTTTACAAACGAGTCCTTGCCTTGGGCGTAGGCTTCGGTTGAGGTGGCAGGGGAATTCGGGCACCGAGGCTGTAGATGAAAGAGAAAGCGCCAGCCACATGAGGTCGTCGACCGGACCAGCTAATCACTGCGAAAGCGTAAGGGCACGAATGCCCCACTCCAAAGGCTGCGCAGCCTAAATCTAAACTTCGCAAACAGTAAGTGTATTCTGAACTGCATTCAGATTAACCACCTGTGTGTAACTGAATGGTGCTCAGCCATAAGTATGGTGTGTGAACCACGCCTTTGACTGATGCATTCGGCATCCTATAGTGCCCATGCATCAAAACTGGTCCCGAAGAGGCAACAAACCCTTAGACAGGAGCCAGTGTCCCATATCGTCGGACGTCACAATACTGGCAAACGGTTGTAACACTTCCAGCAAAAATTATGATTAAACGCAACCTTTGCCATCATTGTGGCGTCCCTACTCAAGGGCTGCTTAAAGGGATTGTCCGGTCAAACTTTGTGTTCGAGAAAACAATTGAATATCATTGTTATTGCCTCTAAATGCATCGTCCGTGCAATATCTGAATTTTATATGACATTCTGCATCAGTAATAAAATTTTAAACTGCCCCCATTGCATCCTAGCATAAACGGTGCTTTCATTGAAGCTCTGACGTCATATAACGCAAAGCGAGCATTTCAGTCTCGTCATTTGCCTGCGAGTGAATGCTGTAGGGTGCTTCATTTTCGTTGTTGTGCTCGACTTGTTTCGTGAATGGGTGAGAATTTGTTGCACGGTTGGGTGCCACAATCACTGGGCAGCACCTGCGACCCTCGAGACGTGCGGCGACGAGCAAAATAGATTCTCGCTGTGCGTAGGGAGCACTGGGTTCTCGTTAAGATCGAGATCCCGCTTATGCAGCAATAATTTCACAGAAGAGAGCTACGAGCTGAACTCTAAGGAGACAGAAGGCTCGTAAGCTGAGGTGTGATGTTGTGCCAACAATATTCAACTACGTCCACCCACTCCTCGCCCAAATCGGATCAATCAATTTGATTATGCAGCGAGACCGAAACCAACAGCTAGGCCATCTTGAAACAATGCCAAAAGTTATATTTAGCATGCGTGCAGCCCGATTCTGTTTGACCCGCGAGTGAAAATGGAGCACGGCTACGATTCACCAAGATCGTCCAAGTCAAGTGACAATCTGGAAATGTTACATGCATTTTCAATGATTCACCGTTTGGCTTCGACACGCGGGCATCGCCTCCAATTACAACAACCTCCGAGGAAACGACCCACAGCCGCATCACTGATCCAGTGCATCCGCCGATATGTGGACCCAGACGCCGCTTCAGAGGCAAACTCTGCATCCTTCTCTTTGCAAGTGTTCCTCGTCCGATCGGTGGCCGTCGCAGTTGTGTATGCGCAAAACGGCATACATTTGCTCGAAGCTAACGGCTGTTTACGAGTAATATCCTGCTAAACGGCGCAAATTTTTTTGCATAAGCTTGGGGACTGCATTACAAGAAACATAGTTCAGTAGGGTACAGCCTAGGAGACTATATAATTCGAAGCAAAATGCGAGACATCCGTCGACCAACGCTTGTTATCCCTACCATCTGACAGTTCTCTGCGTTATGCGACGTCATGCAGCAGCTACGGACGTCAACCATGGACCCTGGCGAAATTCAGGGTGGAGTTTTGTACACATGCTCATGAAAGGCTTAATTAATATGGGGACATCATATATCAAAATAAGAAAGACGTTTGTCTATACGAAGGCTCCCTCGACTTAACGAGCGGCAAAACTTGAGTACCTCCAACTTCGACCGGACAATCCCTTTAAGCTAGCACCACTTTAATGAAAGCACCTCTATCCTTGCCCTACCTTTCTCTTCGTCGAAAGATATCCCGTCCATGCTTGTTCCATAAGATATATCACTCTAACCCTACTCCCTGCCAAGCACTATTTTCTGAACCATTTTAGATATCATCACGCACCGATCATCAATTAAAAGTTGGGATCCCTCATTGCAGCACATCTACCTTCAATGCCCCTTTTTTGCCTCAAACCTCGATTCACTGGAACCGCCTCTTCGAAGCCATTGTCACAATCACTGCCTCGGATAAATTTAAGATTACCATTATACTAACCTGTTACATAATGTTTAGTAGTAACCTTTTTGCATTTTTTGGCTTTTCATTGTCTTTTGTTTTATTCCATGTACAGTGCCATTACTAACGTGTTAAATGATGTTTAGTAGTTATTTTGTGCATTTTTTACGCTTTGATTGTTATTTGCTTTGTACTACTTACTGTGCCCCACTCGTCTCTGTAATGCCTTCGGGCCCTGAGAGACATAATAAATGAAATAAAAGAAATGAAATGAAAAGTTGCGGCGGTCTGTCAAGCTGAAGAGCGACCTACAACAGAGTGGGCGTTTACACCCCCCCCCCCTCATGTCCGCCCGCCTTCACTCCGGTGCCGCTGCCAGGATCGTGGCAGGCAACAAAGTAGCGCAAGCGCCACACCATCAGGTGAAAATCGAGGGGCTGAAACCGATGGCGTGGTAGACGCACCGGACACTTGTTACGGGCACCGTGTCCGAAGGTCGTTAAAGAACCGTCCATGCAACCGCAATAAAATATGGCGTCTGGGAGTCACCACCAGAAGCGGTGGCGTACCCTTACGCGACACCATCCGATTCGACCACGAGGCGCCCCACCTTTCCAGGTAGTTCTTGAAGAAAGCCAGCTCCTGTTTGTGCAGCACCTCTGGCTTGTGCCTGCAGAGCTCCACGAAGGCCTGCAACTGCAGCAGCTGTTCCTTTTCCATGCTTTCCATGGTCCCAATATGTGCGTGTACCCTACCTAGAAACGGTCGACATACAAAGCAACTTACGCCATGTTTTTACGCTCTGCCAATACTTTCTACTCTCTGTTTTTGCACCCCCCTCCAACTGTCTTTTCTCCCTTTTGGTTGTTTTTTCCCATCAGGACAAAACATCTCCTGAAAGAAAAGGCTGACTCTTATGGCACGTTACTGTAGAAAAACATACCATAGAATATTGCGCAACTGCCCGTTCCCAAATTTTTAAGTTCTGAGAAAATGTGCGCAGTACAATTATATGTAAAATGGATGACCGGACAAGCGTCGATCCGTCATTTCTTTTTGGCAATTATCTCCAAATTTTGAGTGGGCGCTTGCCTGGTATTTAACGGAAACAGAACATGAATGAAAGCAAACGATACCAGCACTGTAGCCAGGGAGGAGGCTTATGGGCCTTCAGCACCCCCAAAATCCAGCCGACCCTATAACAGGCATTTTGATCCCCCCTCACCCTCTCCGCACCCCAAGACATGGGCATCACCAGCCCAGCCCCCCCCCCCCCCCCCCCCTCCCTCCCCCACCTCAAGCACCCCCCCCTTTCACCCTCGAAACAGATTCCTGGCTACACCACTGACAAATACCCTGTTCTATAAAGAGTGACGACATTGTGCGCCTCGACCGGAAATGGCTACACACACTTCGCGGGGAGCTCGTGCCAGTTAGTTAATTTAGTGGTGGATTTTGGCTCCCTATCATTCTGCAACGTTCCACTGACAACATAATATTTTACAACAATAGGTGTAAAAAAGTGTCTTTTAAAATGTGTCGCTAGTGTAGGGCGTCTGTCGTCGATACCGCCGAACGCTGAAAAAGCACACCTGCTGCTGTCACGATTAGGTCTTGGGTCCGCTGTGCATGAAGCGGGCGCATTATCACAGAGCTATGCCACAGCTTTCACAGCATATTTTACAGACATTTTATATACCGCATTTTCTACTAAGTTTGCAATAAAATCTGGAAGCCGATAAAAGCTAGCGTGCGATTCACTGAGGCGTGTTTATGGAAGCCTTGCCCTCGCCACCCCCTGTGAACCGGTCGAGAAGCAAAAAGTTGTGTCGTGCGTATAAATTGCCTTAATAGAGTAGCTAGTATGGTTCTGGAAACAAAGCAACGCGTATCCTCGAAATCATGAGCTACACGGGGTGAAGCAGCTTAGCAGTTTTTTGAAACTACAAGAGCAAAGTGTAGAATTCACATGGTGAGCTGACATCACAAGAGTTACTTCATGAGGACCAGTCTCTCAATCTCAATGTTCGAGTAATATTTCTGGCCCTGAACTTAGGGTCCTTTATTTTTAATAGGTTTTCTCTTCCTCCGAGCAAAACGGTACATCACCGACTTCACTACTGAAGAAGCCAAGGCTCTTAGAAAAGTGTTGGGTAGCACTCTCTGCAGCTTCCACAATTTTTTTTTTTTTTTTTTTTGTCTTGGCTAATACGTTTTACAGCAGTCTTCATGCATCAGGTTGGCGGCGAAAAACGCCGGTATCTAAATCAATGCGATGCGTCCTTCAAAAATGTTGCTTGGGGCCTTAACTGCGAATGATAACAAATCTAGACATACTGAGATAAGCGCACCACCTAGATCACACACACACACATAAATATAAAGATTGTAAACGCGGTTCTAGCCATGGCCAAAGCCACATTCTGGGACCGCGTGTTCAAGTAATGGTGACCCACGGTAGGCGTGAAATCAGTCATAAACGCTACACGCCGCTCTAGCTAACGGTTAATATTCAAAACAATCAACACAACTCCCGCGCAATTGAAATTCAAAAATTAGATCGCGTGCACAACATTCTTCGAGGCTAAAGACAAGAGCTTGAATATTACTGCTCGTGATCTGAGCTCGTCAAAATTATGTTGTGACACTGCTTTTGAAACAAAATGATAATTAAAAAATTTGCGGCAGCGTGGTCCTTGAACGAGGATACCGGGGAAAAGAAATTGTTGGAACGCGGTTCCCGTAAACAAGATTACGACGAAGACGCTAAAACCGAGCAACTTCGTCAGAGCCCCGACAGAAGCTAGCGATTTTGAGCTCGAAGTGCTGAAGCGGTGTAATTACGAGGCAGAGATCGGTATGTGCCAAATGTGAACAGCGCAAGCGATGCGTTACAAGAAAGATCGTAGAAAGGAGGTGGGCCTCACGTGTAGTAGCGCAGAATATTCCAGACACGACTCCGCCGCCGCCTTCGCCACTCTCGCTTTGCCAACTTTCCCACACTGCTTTTCCGCTTCCTTGACACCAGCGTTGCCAGCTCACCAGAAGGCGAGCCAGTGAAAGCTTTATCAGTTTAATGCTAAACAGGTTAAATAAAATGTCGTTACCTTGAAACTGAAGTAGCATGAAAGATAAGAGGAAAAGAGTGGACAGCTTGAAGGTCTCAGCTGTTTGTTGTCCACTTTACGAGGAACCTCCTTGGCTTCTTTGCTTGGCATAGTCAACAGTTATAGTCAATACAGAAAGAAAAAAATAAGACATTTCTGGAAATAATGGTATATGTCTGCTCGTCTCCCGTAAATGTTTTACGCTCTCTTCCTTTGTGAACTTCTTTTCGCTTGTTGCTTTTTTTTTTTTCTCCCGTCTAGTTGCCGATACCATCCAAGCCAAGCCTAGCCTAGCCTGTTTGGGGGACTTCTTGTGGTGACTGGATTGAATGGTTGCTCGTTTCCGTGATTCTTGAACAGTTTCCGAAAGAAAGATGGAGTTTTATTCGCAGTATTTCCAGTTCATCTTGCTGGCCGGGATCTACTTACTAGGCCGAAGCGTTTCCTCAGTGGCTGCGATGGACGAAGACGCCGCTGCTGTTTCAGACAGGCACGTCATCGAAGGCAAGGTTGTCCCCCCAGAAGTCGCCAGTCCCGAATGGCTCACATCAACAAGAGTCATCGTGAACGGCGGGGAACAGCTAGGATTTCTCAAGTATGATTCCGAGAATCCTCATAGTTCCGTTCAAGTCTAAAGTGGAAAATATTATCGACCTTGATCCGTATCAGTCCAGCAACTGAGATCAGATTGGGGCAATGGGAGAGCTCAAACATACATTCCTTCAATGCGTAAAAAAAAACAAAATAATAAAAAAAACACTTTCTTTATTTTTTTTTTCTAGAAGGGTAAATTTTTTTTATTTATTTAAACAATCGAACACTTTCTCGTCTTGAGGCAATGGGAAATGTTGTAATTGCTATACATTTCTTGAAACATCTCAAACATAAATGTGTGAATCAGCCTTAAAGGCCGACCTACAAGATCGTCTCCTGCCGGGCAGAAAAGTGGTTTGCTTCCCTCTCTCCGTTCCCTTTCGCACTCTTCTCCTTGCCCAACAGGAGCGGGTCTCTGAGCTACTCCTCGGGGAGAGGAGGACGGTCTCAGTCTTTCTCGAATGGAAAGGAGGAATTGGGGCAGGGTTTCCTCCTTTCTGGCTGCTCGTCGCCTCTAACCGCACATGCGAAAACACTTTCTGGTTTGTTTCAGGAATGACGGCTCTTTTATGGTGCATAACCTCCCGCCCGGGTCCTACGTGGTGGAGGTTGTAAACCCGGACTACATGTACGAGCCGGTCCGCGTGGACATCAACTCCAAGGGGAAGTTCAGGGCTCGTCGCGTCAACTACATCCAGTCCAACCTGATCCAGACCCTCACATACCCGCTGAAGCTCAAAAGCCGCGGACCGTTCCAGTATTTCCAAATCCGGGAGACGTGGAGGGTCACCGACTTCCTCATGAACCCCATGGTGAGCGTCACCGTTGCGGTCTTTCTGCGTCGTACGTCGGGAGATGTCAGCTCTGTTGTTGCGACACCTGTACTGCAGTCTATTCTCTCTTAAATTGCATGGTGAAGGTAACTTCTGTGGTGCTAATTAGAGTTGCTACATAGGCTACGCTCGGAGTATTGGCATTCCACTTCCCGATTTGGTTGTGGGTGCTGCCACGTTGGTGCTTAGTGCAGTACAATCAGCAATGGGCAATAGTTACGATTAGAAAATGTGGCTTCTCGAGCTTTAGATGCGGTGTCTGGATGCTCAGCTGATATAACTTTTCTGTTGCGGACTGTTTTAAAATTTCTGAAGGATGGTTGCTGCGATTTCAGATAAAGCTTCAGATGATTGGCAACATCGATTATGGGAACCAAAATGGCTCTGAAGCGTCCTTACTCTGAAGCCTACTTTGTAGTTCTAGTGCTAGTACAGCAATATGTCTGAGAGATTTCTTTCTTGTGGCAAAGTTGTCTCTGCCATTGCACTGGTGATGTTGCTTCTAGGGATCTTTATACTCGAAGGGGAACTTTCTGTGGCATTTCAGAGGTGACGAGAGAGAGAGAGAGATAGTAGATATATATATATATATATATATAGAGAGAGAGAGAGAGAGAGAGAGAATGTGTGTGTGTGCACACGCGTGTGTGCATGCACACATAATTTTGATCAGCTCTCGAGGAATATGATCACACAGGTGCTTATAGCTCTGACCTCACTGCCACAAAAAGTTGTTCCCAAGTTATATACGGAACATCCTCTAAAAACAGGTACACCGACATTCCACCATAAAGCAGCATTCGTAGCAGTGCCATCCTTTGACTACAGCTAAAATGCTTGCAGACCTCTTTGGGAGCTTGGGGCAAGTTACTGGTGACCTTGGAATTTCAATAAGATTTTGGCATTTTTCTGCATTGTCTGTATTAAGCGGAACCTATTCTTTGCTCTTTTGGCTGAGAGCGCTCTACACACTTGGTTTGATGGGCGTCGTAGCTTGGAATTGGGGTGCGGCATATCCCACATACATGCTGTGCGAGCTAATGCTCTTTGTTCTTCCTCACTTATGTCTCTCGAGTCTGCACACTAAAACGTGCGACTTGTACCCGTGCATTGTTTGCAAACTTTTTTTTTTCTTCCGTCACAGGTGCTTATGATGGTGGTCCCTCTTTTGGTCATCATGGTCTTGCCCAAGCTGATGAATGCTGCAGACCCCGAAACTCAGCGAGTAAGTTGACCGTTTTGTTCTCTTTTACTTCTCGTAGGCTTGACTTTTGCTTATTGCGTATCACAGAGAAGGGGGTAAAATAAGTTAACATATGAGGTTAGGGACCTGTTAATGTAACTTCCATTACAAAAATTTAGAAAATAAGAGAACCATTTGTAAAGCATGGAATGCTTTTTTTATGGAACCCCCTACTCCCAGAAATTTATCCGCTTTAGTCAAAGATAAATTGAATTGGTTCGAAGTTATATAGTACACAAAATCAGGTTGCTTCACACATTATTGGCCACACAAGAAGCATTTTTCTTCTAAACCTAGCAGGAAAATTTAATCTGCTTATACACATTGATAGGCGCCATGCGACACCACGACCTGGACAACTGAAGCAGTTTTCTATTCGAAATAAAACACTTAAATCGTCTTCACTTGACCTGCAGGATCACGAATATCAAAATGATAATTCAGATTGATGTGCGAAGTAGCCACTACAGCACTTTCGAAATAGCTCTGAAGCCCCTCTTTCCCATGTGGTGAGAGGAGAGAACCATAAAATGTTAGACAGAGATCTCAACATCTCCGCACCTTCCGCAAGCCTTACTCGAGCAGTCAAAAATGCCGCACGCGTTCCTTCACAAGTGGCAAGGGAAAGGCAGTTGAAACCATTTTGTATGTTACATCCAGCGGTTGGATTTCGTGTTTTTCTCAAGCCTATTTATTGATGTGCTCCGGTCAAATCCTTGTGATATTCAAATTCATAAAACAAAAATATAATTAAATTCACCTCTAACTTGCTTTTTTTTTTTTTTTTTTAGAACCTCTACGGCCTTCCTTGAATATCAGATCACATGATGTTAATTAATAAAGAATACGTTCTTTGTCACTCCCCGAAGTTTGTGTGTGACCGCTCGTTTTGCTGGCGAGACGGGCAGGAAAGACAAGTCAGATTTTGGCAATCGCTTTCTGTAAACGTTAAAGAACGCATGCAAAGGAAAAAAAAAAATTTTTTTTTAAACAGCATAGATGAAAAAAGAATGTTATAAAACAAATTTGCAAAGAAGAAAAATAATTTTTAGAGCAATGTTACGGCGTAAAACGAATTTGTAGTTCACGCCCGCGGGAGCCGCTGCAGGTCACGTGGTAGACCTGTGCGCCGTCGCGCAGTGCTCATGACTGCTCGAACTCACGCCGCCGCCGCACGCTAAGCGTATTGCGCTGCCGTCTCAACGCGTTTCTCCACGCTGCTTCCGCCGCCGCCGCCTACCGTGCAAGTTCGTCTGCTCTGCGCCGCCGCCATCTGACCGGTGCACAGGTCTATCACGTCTGCTTGCGCTTTTTCAGGGGCTTCCTTTGGGCTCTAAAAGTTACTTATTAATCTTTGTTTTTTGTTGCACTTGAAACAAAGATGAATAAGTAACTTTTAGAAACCTTATGGAGCTTCTGAAAGAGCGCAAGTACCACTTAACAAATAGCAGCCAGTCACGTGACAGGTAGCGACCACTTTTCCGCGGCACCAACTACAAATTGGTATAGCACCATAAATATGGCTCTAAAAATTTTTATTTTTTATTGTAAATTCATTTCATGACTTCCTTTTCCCAACCAGGCTGTTATAAAAAAAGTTATTTTTCCTTTGCATGTTAACTTACATTTGCGTGCTTCCTTTGGTTTCCTGAAGGGAGGGTGAAACATTTTTTTCAAAAAATGAGATAGAGGTTGATTCTAACAATCTTTTATCCTGTGAATTTGAATATCACGTTCGTTTTCCCGAAGTTGTAACTAAACGCGAGAAAACTCGAAAAGCCTCAGACCAGTCGTTATGTTATAAGAGGATCTTTCGGTCGCCAAGCGGGTGTCGCTCGAGGGCTGCGCGTGCAATCTCAAGCTTGCAAGGTATATTTCCCTACACTGGCACCAGTCGTGATGTCTTTTTCTGGCCTTTTTAAAAACAGCAAGAGTGTGCGCACGCACGCATAGCTTTCATAGGCACTGAAGATGCGCGAGAGCGGAGATTTTGAAAACTCCTTTTGTGACGTCACGCTCCAGGAAGGAGGGCCCTCAGCGATACTTTGAAAATGATTTTCTGCCGCGTCCATGCACCAATTAAAAAAATAATGTCAATATTCGTGTTCCTGGAATCAAATGAAGAAAATTTAAAAAGCAACTCTACTTAATTTTTGTTTTTGAAAAAACAATGCAGTCCTTTTCAGTATCACCTAGGGAGACCGTACGTCAAATATTATGACATAGGAGCTCTGTCTAAATGTTTCTGAAACGGTCCGGCAAACTTTGCAGCTCGCCAAGTTGCCAAATTCGGCTGACTCAAGCGGGCGAATTGAGGCGCAACCAACAGCGCAGTCAAGGCTACGGCATAAGCGTAGCCAACATTGAGTTAAACGTCATCACCATTGCCCCCTTTTACTTGTTTTTACTTTTCCGGCCAAGCGTAATGGGCAACATCACAAACCTTTCTTCTCGGCGCGCCTGCGCAGCGCGCTTTTTGAGAGCTGTCCTGCCGCTCTACCGTGGCCCCGCCGTTACCCACGTCACTACTGCCGTCGTCGCATCACCGTTTGTGATAAT